GGACTAAAGCATACTTAACAACAGCCTAAAGCACAACGTGGGTATGCCATTTTATAACATAGTGTTACCAAGTTCATATAATCATGACAAATTTATAAGGTCACGAAGGCTCGCGGAAGACGACCGCTTCGAACCTGCTATTATTGTTCAAACTGGATTCCAACAATCACTTCGCCATTTACAAGGTAACAAAAACAACATATCAATTTGTTTTATCAATATATCTGCCATCTTTGAATTATCTCTAACCATGGGGGCTGGCCAATAAGACTTTCTATAATTATTTTCGCTAATAGATAACGACAAAATGTACAAAAATGTCGCTACCCCAAAACATTATAGCAGGTGATCATAATATATTTTTATGTTTATAGTACGATGATTTTCATATATTTTTGTATTTTCTCTCTGGGATAGTGATATAAATATCGATATGGCGGATAGAAAACATAAATTGCACATAGTGAACAAAACTTAATATTTAGGTATACATTCAACTGTCTAAGGGGTGTTTCAAGTAGCTTTGCTTGTTGCTTAATTCTTAGATTGTAAGGTTTTACTATCACGCAAGGCAAATATTTATGTTGGCTATGTAGATAATACCTATACTCGTAACTGTTATAAAATATATTTTCTCCCGCAATGTTAAGCAATGTTATTGCTAGGAAAATAGTAGATTTTCCACACTATTTCTTGTAAAAAATAAGGCTCCACAGGACCCTTGTTGTATTGATAAAAAGCTATACACTCTCCCATTTTTATATTAAAACTAGCGACTCACCCTCGCTCCGCTCGGGTTCGTCCCTGGGGTGGGGTCTGGGAGGACCACCCTTATCCTTATCACTTAGGGGTATGGAAAATAGATACTAGCCGATTCTCAGACCTACTGAATACGCATATAAAATTTGGTAAAAATCGGTAAAGTCGTTTCGGAGGAGTACGGTAACTAACACTATGACACGGAAATTTTATATATTAGATAAAAGACCGACAAAATATGTATAAGTTTCTATTTTATATTAGTGAAATAAATTTGTAAAAAGTTTATTTACTTATCCACTTATAAACCATGTTGTATTGAAAAAGAGAACGTAACATATTATAATTTTATATATTGAAATATGTACCTATGCCTTATTATGCGTGTTTTGTAGCAATACTAAAACTTTAACTGATTTATTTGAATTAAGATAAACTAAGCTAAGCAAGGTTCAACTTATTAAAAGTTTAGAGGCTTCCATACCGTAATGTCAAAATAACAGCTTTCATAATAGCTTTTTACTAAACGCACATCTTCTATATACTAATAAATGGAGAGTCGATTTTTTTGTTCGGTTATACTGCGATAACTACTGAACCGATTGGAATAATACTCATACCATAAGATGCAGTGTGTTTAGGAGAAGGTTTTAGTATATGATATGTTGGTGATTAGTGTACTATGTGGGCGGAGCCGCAAGAAAACGCTAGTGACATTATATAGGTACGGTACTTATAAGAAAAAGTCATTTTTTTAATTTTTGTATATCTGTCTGTTTGTTTCGGCTATCCTCCGAAACGGCTGGACCGATTTTGACGGGAATTTCACTGGCAGATAGCTTATGTTATAAGGAGTATCTTAACCAACCCAGGGACACAACCGGGCGAAGCGAGAGTAAATCGCTAGGTAATAGTAAAAATACAATGTTAGAATAGTAGCTGAGGTCATTTTAACATATAAATATATATCACTAGCATTGCCCGCGGCTCCGCCCGCGTTCATATGACCAAAAACCAAATTCTTAGGTTTTACATATTAGTATACTCTTACATTGCAGTTTTTGTATTTTTTCTCAGAAATTAGATATTTTCCCAATGTAAAAAGTATCCTATATGTTGACCTGGATAACCAGCTGTCACTATACCAAATTTCATCAAAATCCCTCCAGTGGTTTTTCTGTGATGCTGTAACAGGCAGACAGACAGACACAAAAATTCTAAAATCTATAGTTTCGGCGTCTGCATCGAAAATAATGTCTATTTCAATAAGATTTTCCAAAAAATATTTAATGTACAGATTCGGCTTAGTTACAATTTTATTACTTATATGTTTATTAAAATAAAATAAATAAAAATAAATCTATTTAAATTACATCAATTCCACAGAGTAATACGACAAGAATTCCAGAGTGACGATAAATCTCATAGTAACATTTATACATAGTTCATCTATCAGAATGAAATAGTGCAAACAGCAAATATTTTATAGCGCAGTTAAGTTTAGGTCACAGATTCCTCTGCTCATTCCACAATGTCAGAAGTTAAAAAGTCTACTTAGCTATGGTGGAGATAGAAAAATTGAGTTCTAATAAAAAAAAAAACAATTTATAGATTATTTTTTAGTAATGTCAAAACAAACAATCTCCTCCAGACAATTTGTTATAAAAATAATATAATAAATATTTACTTTAGTAACTGTATCTTGAAAAAATTAAACTCATTTAATTCATAATATTTTACTTATATTTAAAACTTCATAAGTTTGCATAGTAATTATATAATCTAAAGACCACCCACACTCTAAACGTTACTTCACGACCCACGATATGAAGTTAAAATACAATAAACTTGAAACAGCCTTAATATTAATTTTACATAATTATAATTTGTTGTAATTTAATTTCAAAATTACTCTTAAACAAGTTGTTACTTGTTATAGATTATTCCATTATTTAAAAGAGACGTATTTGCTTACCTTATACATAAGATAGATGTACATATGTAATTTTACGTGTATATATTCAATTCACTTTATAATGCAAATATGTAGTGCAATAAGAAATAACTACTAAGTTATTTATTAATACTTTCTTAGATTGACGCGAATATTTCACATCTATACTAATATTGTAAAGAGGTAAAGTTTGTGAGGTTGTAGGTGGTAATCTCTGGATCTACTAAACCGATTTAGATGACATTTGCTATGAAGATAGTTTGAGATCCTGGGAAGGACATAGGATAGTTTCCATCCCGAAAATCGTCCCTAAAGGGGGTGAAAATGAGGATTAAAATTTGTATGGGGAATCAACCAAATAAATTTTTAAATAAAACTCTCTCCCGTGATCATGATTGCTGTAAGGCATGCGAAACGTCAAAACAAATCCGCGGAAAAAATGGAGTTTTAATAATAAGTTTAATAATAAGTTACTTTCCGCCCTCAGGATGGTTGAGGTATATTCTTAAAAAAAAGAATGAATGAAAATCGAGTCACAATTGTTGACGAAGATATCGCGTATCATACATAAAAACATACCTATAAAAGTATTGAGTACCTTTTTGAAGTCGGTCAAAGAGTCACTTAAGTCAAAGCTATAGAATACTTATAGGTATATTTATCTATGTTGAATGAAAAATTATAACTTTTTTCCAAATTTTTTCTTTCAAATTCTTTCAAATCTAATCTTGTCAAAATTATGTGTACGATGATGTCGCAAACAATTGTTAGGTTAAAAATATTACATAAATAAGTCGTATAAATAAATACCTCTTTTCAGAAATCGATAAAATCGAAAAAAATAACTTATGTAAAAGTGAAAATTATTATATTACTTTTATGTAATCATTACAAATTACGTAAATTGTAAGCAAATAATATAATTTTATTAAAAAAAATATTTACACCAATGGTTATGGAGCTCTGGAATACACTATAATGCTGCCGCACTATGCGGTCGCTACACAGCGCGGAAACGAGCACCGGTACTCTAATATATAGATAGATAAATAGATAGATACATAGGTAGATAGAGCCTTTATAGATCTGCCGTCATTGAAACTAAGTGCTTATATATTATTATATAAGCATGTAATTCTTTACTATACTATAAATATTTTTAATTGTTCATACCTATCTGGTAATACAAGTTAGGTTTAACTAAATGATGCTTTAAGAGTTATTTTATTATTTGCAATTTTACATTAAGGAGATTATTTAAAGTTTCTTTATCGAAAGTCTTGTTTATTCTATACTAGCGACTCACCCTTGCTTCGCTTCGGGTTCGTCCCTAGACAAAACAAATCTATCCCACGGGAATCGTATATTTTTCCGAGATAAAAAGTAACCTATGTGCTATTCCAGACTATAATCTATGTCTACGCCAAATTTCATTCAGATCCATTCAGCCGTTTTGACGATATAGATTATAGAGTAACAAACATCCATACATCCATCCTTACAAACTTTCACATTTATAATATTAGTAGGATAAATAAGGCAAAGAATCGTCGACAACAAAGACAGATAACAGTTCAGTGCCTTTTACTTCTCTGTTTTAAAACCATTTTTAGTTAAGTAGCTATGGACAAGCTTTAGTGTTAGTAAAAAAAAAGGTTTTTTTTTAAATATCTAATGATTATGGTCGAATTTCGGCCACTGGACAACAACTAGTATTAGCAATTATTTGTATTGAAATAGTCCCCTAATATCGATTAAGTATAAAAAATATGAGATATCAAACGCGTGCGAGTTATCAACGGCCGAACGCGGAACATTTTTTATCGAACCCATATAACTGCCACTAGGGACCGTTAACACCTGCCACAAACAGATACTAGATATTCGATAAAAAAAATGTAGATTTAAAGAAACCGGTAACCAATTTGAATTTCATATATAAATGATACAAACTGTTTGGTTAGTTTGTTTGCAATTCTGCCTATTAAAACAAGTTGCATATTCATATTATTGAGAAATTAAAATATGCGTGACCCCAGTACAATTTCTGATATAAACCATAACTGTTGACTTACGCGTTGTGCAACAGATAACCCGATTCCAGCTAAACTTTCATCATATTAAGATAAAGCTCAGCAAACTAATGTTTAAACGATTTATACCACTACCAAGAGTGTCATTTTATGTATCCTAACATACTTGGAACGTAATCAGCGAAACCGGTTTTAAGGTATTTTTAACGGATAATACTTGCCGACTCGACCACGGATTGATTGCAAATACTCACCGGCCGTTAGGTGCCGAGGGGGAGTGCACTAGCTTCACCGCAAACAAGAACTGGATCGCACAAACTAACAGACAACAGAGGTTCAAGGATAGTGTCAACGCACACAAGGCTAACGTCACTTCGTACACCACTGCGAATTCCTCGGGAGCGCTCGTCGCCGGAGCTGATATCTTCAGGAGGAAGAGCAACGCAAGTAGCGCTAGTAGTAGACTGATAAGGCACAATAGGGCTAAGGACGTCAGGGCTTCCTCTGTAGCTGCCCGCGTGCTACGAGTCCTCGAGGTAGCCGGCCGGCTTGATGGAACTCCTGCAGCAGTTCCATTTGCAAGTTTGGGAGGTGATGCCACAGGAACTGGAGTGATCACAGGATTGGACGTGGGAGGCTGAGCTCCAGGACTGACGCTGGCTGATGTACCACCAACTGAATGTTTCGAGGAGTCCAAAGTAGACACATTTAAGGGTAGATGGTGGTGCGGCCGCCGCGGCATGTTTTGGTAGCGGTGATCATCGCTCGCCGCCGGCGGCCGCTGTGCATGCTTCAACATATTTTAACTCTCACGCCATTAGCCGCCATCTCGCCGAGTTTCCCATCCGAGCGTACGTACACTTCTAACCGCGGTCGCGTTCTGACTGAGCCCCCTCTCTACCTGCTTCGCGATTGTCAATCAAACCGGTGCTCAACAACCACCGGTTTCGTTAAAAAACCTACCCTTATAATACTCTAAACACAATTGTCCTAATGTAAACTAAATGCTTCAGTCTATTGTTATATATTCGTATGAATATAACAATAACTGTTTGTTTATATCGCTCTAGTGAAGGCATTGTTTGTAAACTTGTAATACAATAAAACTATCAACTTGTTATTTTAGAACTAATTACTATACACTAGACAGAATAATTAATTAAAAAGCATATTTAAGTGTCTTAATTAGTAGATCGCTGCTTTATGTAATTATGACTTCATTGTTTAAAGTAACTAAATTCTCATGAGATGAATATGTAGGAACCTGTTTTCTGTAAACAGGGTCAAGGTGTGCTTTTCATTAGAGAATTCCGAAATATCTTAAAGGCCATGATTCTAGTTGTAAAAACCTTTTAAGTAAATGTGTAGGAATTTTATTAGGCAGTTACGTAAGAGCATATCTACTTATTTGTGAAATATGTACATTTTATGCAAAAAAACCACAGCAGAACTTACTCAGCCATTAATTAAATTTTCGAATATGAAAAAAAAATCACAGTTTATTGTAAAGCCAGTATGAGGTCACATCACTGTATAGAAAGGTTCGAAAGGATAATTATCATTGATATTTATCATAATGAGTATAGGTTGATAATTATCTTTGATAAATATAATCGAAAGTCAAAAAACTCAATCAGCAAAATCAGAACTGAGGATGAGGATGATATTCCACTTATTAATTTAATTAAATAGTGCCTATGGAGTATGGGCATTGTAGTTGGTTAAATTTATTCTGTTTTTTTATTATGAAAAAAAAATACCTTGATTTATTCTAACGTAAATTAATTACAATAAACAAGTAGTCACATACCAATACCTAAACAAGAATTACTTGGTTTATATATATTTGATAATTATCGGATAATTATCTGATAATTATCGCGATATTCGCGATTATCAAAAGACATATTTATCGTGATAATTTCTTTCTCTGTATTATATGATTTTGATTGTATTATATGATCTGTGGTAAAGCCTAGCAAAAATTAACAAAAACTAATTTAATTACGCGAAAGTTCGATGCGAATTTAATTTAAAGCAGACGACCATATGAAATATAATACAGTTCAATCATACGTACATCCGCGCCGGCACGTGGACACTTGCCACCTGCTTTGCAGATGTTTTCATGGCATATGAGCATATCCCATTAAAACCTCCCATAAATCAATTCCATGAATAAAAATAATACTGAGGTATAATTTTCTATTTATTTCACCATATTCACCATGCATACTAAATAGAAGAAATAGGGCATTCTCTTATATAAAAATTTAATTGAGGGAGACTTACGAAACGTAAACCTTTGCTGTGCGGATTGACTCAATAAACTATATATCATTCTGATCGATGTTATATTTATAATTTATTGGTTTACTATCGCAATAATATGATACAATCGTAATGTGCAAACGAACCGTGTAATACCTATTACTTGCTTCAATTCCGTTCTTGGATTCGAACCAGTGACCTTTGACCTTTGAGTAAGAAAAGCCAGTACCAAGTCAAACAAGTGAAATGAAATGGAGAAAATATTAAATTAAACTTTATTCAATTAGAGCTTTTTAATTGTTACTTTAATTTTAAAAGAGTCAATTTATTCAGTAGGTATAGTAGGTACATTGTTAATAAAAAAAATTATTCTAATTTAAAAATAGAAAATTAACTTAAACATTAACTCTACAAATATAGAGAAAATTTGAAAAATCTTTTCTTTAGACTCCGTTACTAGGAAGTGGGATATTTTTATTGATCAAACTAGTAAAATTTAAATATTGACCCTTTTTAAGACTACAAAATCTAGATTAGGGTTAAATAAGCGACTCTACATAGAAAACAAAGATGAGAAACGCCTTCAAATAGTATTATTTGAAGTAATTTTTCGATAAATAAATAAAATAAAGTGGCACTCGGCTACTTTTTACCTTGGCAAATGGAAAGATATTCGCGGATTCGATTTAGAAATTAGGAATCAAATTTTAAGATTTTTTGGGACAGTAAGTCTAAACCGTGAGACTGGACGGTTTACTAATACTTTTTTAAGTCTAGACGAGTCATCATTACCTACGTATATTTATATTAGGTACTTTAATTTATGATAATGTGCCTTCTTTTTTTTTAATTTACTAATTAAATAAAACTATAGTCAAATAATTAACTAGATAAATGTATTTTTATCTAGCCATTATAGTTAAGTACGCCTCACATCTGTCGTATGAATTGATATGGAAAAATGAAACACCCATTTTAAAGATACGACTTCATATAACATTATAACAGGGTTTATGGTGTAGCAACATTATTATTTGATTTAAAGTTTACGTGTTGGAGGCATGTTTGGTAATTCTCAAATTCTATCAACAATTTCTTGAACTTTTATAATGATTTTATAACTTTTATAAAGATGGATTACTATTCGATCTATAAGATCAAACTAGTAAAATTTAAATATTTACCTACCCTTTTAAAGAATACATATTGATAATAGGGGTTCCGTTGTAAGTCACTCTAGGTACATAGAAAATAAATAGGGTTTTTATTATATCTAGGGAAGTCAAATCAAAGTTTTATTTCAGACCATAATGTGTATAAATATAACCATCTTAATATCAAAAGTTATGTATCAAATATAATTACTTAGCAGTGAGCAGTTTTTCTGTCTTTAAATAGCAGATGAACGCTTGTATAACCTAATAGGTACTAATTTTGCCAATGGCTCTATATATAATAATTAGAACAGAACAATCTCAATATATAATAATTAAACTTTTAATTAAACTTTAGCTTTAGCATCGATCGCGCCAATTTTAAACCCCCGTTTCACATCTTTAGGGGTTGAATTTAAAAAAAAATTCTCATAATTACATATCTGTGTGCCAAATTTTTAAGTTGATAGATCAGTCAGTCAATTAGTCAGTCAAGGTTTCTTTTTTTATATAAAAAAGATAAGATTTGTTAAAAAAAAATCTCCGAAATCTCCAACCCTTACGTAGCCATTAGCCAATAAATCTTACACATCGTTGAAAGGACGATGTCCGCGTCGTTAGTGTAGGGTTGCAATTTTGTTAGGGTGACCATATAGTATTTAGGGCAGATTTACTTCTAAAAGGGCTTAGAAAAGATATCGTTCTATAATCGATGAATAGAAATCTTTTCAAGCCAATTTTCTTGTTAATGGCTTCGTAAAGCGAAACAACACGAAGGATATTGGTAATAGAAATGTAAAAAATATATAGAAATGACATATTATAATTATAGTAGCAACTAACACTCGCTTCGCTCGGGTTCGTCCTAGTGAAAACAAAAACAACTATCCCGCAGTAACTGTACACCGTTTATCAGGATAAAAAAATAACCTATGTGCTATTCCAGACTACAATCTATCTCTTTGCCAAATTTCATCCAGATCCGTTCAGCCGTTCTGGCATGATTGAGTAACAAACATCCATCCATCCAAACTTTCACATTTATAATATTAAATAGCGAGTAGCGACTCACCCTCGCTGCCAGTTTAACACAATATTATTATCGATTATAATAAGCTATGTAAAAGTGTTACTAAATATATATTAAATATAAATATAATCAAAAGAATATTATTCGTTTTGATACAACTTCGAATGCTCTACACGGCGATCCTAATACAGTTAGACCGAAGCCTACATTCACTCATTTTTTTTAAATTTTCTAAGAAAACCGAATTTACACGGTTTCGACATAGCGCAGGTGATCAGATAGATGGTGTGGCAAAAATTCAGCTTGTCTTCATTGATCTAACTCTATGATATACAATATTGTCTTTACCGTAAGCATTATGCCGTTGAAATATACAAAATATTATAAGAGACACTTTTGTAGAGGGAGCTAAGATCTGTTTGTCTTGAGTTTAAATATCTGTATTTATATATATATATATATATATATATATATATATATATATATATATATATATACCGCTTCTGGTTTGGTTTAAGTGTAGATATATTTTTACTCTAGAATACTTTAAAAGAGAAATCAATAATGTCAATTCTGCTCTCCAAAAAAGCGTTTTGTGTATGTTTAATTTCATTGCATATTTGGATTAAAAGTTTCAACATAAAAAAAAATCTTATTATTTCTTTCTTGAATGGCACGCATTATCAACAATTAAAAACAATAAAATCTGTTTAAACGGCTTCTTTTCGGTAAATTTTGAAATCTGCTTACATAGATACACGCATACATTTAATAAAATGCCTTTAAAATTTTATTATAAATTGCACTAGCTTTCGCTCGTAGCTCTACTCGTTTGTATAGTATAATAATATAATAATAAAGATAAAGCCCTTTTATTTTGAAATTCTGCTTCGGTTTCAGTATAAAATGTCCCGCAATTCAGTGTATCTCTTGGCATAAGCCTCTTCGAACTTTTACTATCGCATTCTCATTAATCAAAACTTTCATACATTCCTCGTTAAGTGATTTTGTTATATATACGAGGTGTGTGTTTAAATACTTTTCCATTCCGATATTCCGTTTTTCTTTTTTTTTGTAAAAAAAAAAAATATTTAAAATAACAGACCGACAAGTTGATTTTATATATAAGCAAAACAATGCTTACTGATAAAAAGTTCATGGAGTTCCTACTCAGTAGCTGTGTGATATTGTTGTTGCGACGGGACGGGTCGTCAAAGAATGCAGCTTGTCTAGTTTTGCCCGACGATACATACAGCAACATAGATTTTTACTTCTATAGCTAATTAATTTTACTTCTAAAATTACAATTACAAAACCTCGTAATAAAATCGTCTTCGTAATAAAATCATATTTTTTTCTAAATAAATAGATTTTTGTATCTGTGTAATCTATCTATACATAGGTACATATAATAAAATTCTAACGAAGCTGAATCTGTACATTAAATATTTTTTGGAAAATCTTATTGAAATAGTTATTATTATCGATACAGAGGCCGAATTTATAGTTTTTAAAATTTTTGTCTGTCTGTCTGTTACCGCATCACGAGGAAACTACTGGACAGATTTTGATGAAATTTGGTATGATGATAGCTGGTTATCCGGGTCCAAATAAAAGATACTTTTTACTGCGGAAAAATATTTCATCTTTGAGAAATCTATACAAAACGTTAAAACGTAAGCAGGGACGAACCCGAGCGAAGCGAGGGTGAGTCGCTACTATATATATATATATATACATAAATATATAACTGTACTCATACTTGTATTCTAGTTTGACTTCCTTCCAAATCACTAAATTGAACTAATTTGAATTTTAATTCATTTGGAATATTTAAATGACATTTGATATTTTTAATCATTACAATAATCATGCTTCTAATCTACATGCCTTTTCTCGTGTATTTTTTATTGTAACATGAAGTGATTTTGTATGGGAGAGCGAAAAAAGGGCTCTAGGTGAATGGAATTGACGTTATATAAAAATTCATGCGTTTGTGTAAATGAAAAGTCCTTATTGAGTGATGGAAAATTTAAAAACAGCCGACTAAGCTTTTAATTTTTATTTCTTTTTAGGGTTCCGGGTGCGTCTGTCTGCAGCTTCATACTCAGAGACTGTTAGTACTAGAAAGCTATAATTTGGCATAAATACACATATTAGTCACACCAACTAAGTGGTAAAATAAAATCTCGAAAAAAATTTTTTTTTTAGGGTAAACGTACACTACTAAACTAACACTGTTAAGCTTTACATGTAAAGTAGAGATTTTTTACTCGTCTACCCCGTGGTATGGAGTATCGTTAGATAGGTCTTTCAAAAATATTGCGAGTTTGTTAAAACAATTTTTCGATTAAGTAATCTGTTTGTGAAATATTAAGCTTTAAAGTGCTTTAAGTTAGAAAAATATTCTTAGAGTCAAGTATACCCCCGCCTCCCCCGCGAGCTAAATGATTGTTTTTGGATATGTGTAAAAAATAACTATATAACGAAGTTAAAAGAAAACTATCACAGCTAATTAGTCTTTACAAGTTTACGAGTAATAGTGAACCAACTTGTAAAACGTACTTGGAGTAGTAAAAAAATCGTACAAAGTCCATTGAAAATTACTTGTATAACGTTGTTCTGCAAAACAGGTAATAAATATAAGTTTATGAACCATTTAAGAATATACAACAATAAAATCATAACAGCCTTAATAATTATTATTCTTAATGAGTAATATTGTTTACGCTAGAAACGCATCGAAGTGGGCGGCGCGCATTGTCCTATATGGGTCCATTTTTACACGAAACCGTTAAAGTTCATAGTATTAAACAAAAAACCCTCTTTAATTTATTCCGCATTATTGTGAACAACTACGGAACACTACATTGCTCGTGGCCCGACACGCACTTGGCTTATAGGTATTTTTTTTTGTATAAATCAAAAAGACTAATTTTTAGAACTGGCAACCTAAACAATTTAAAAAAACCAGGGAATCGAACCCATTAAAATAATTAAAACTAACCGTTGTAGTGTGTCTATAATTTATATAAAACAAGTTGAAAATAACAATTGTGATAATTACACTATCAATTACGCAATAAAGTTTCTGTTTAAGACGAGGTCAGTTGTAGATAAGCTTCAGATTTCCTCGGTGTAATAAATTGTGAATAATTTAAAAAATGGCAACGTGAGTGTATTTTTCCAAATTTGATTTTAATTTTTTTTTTAAATTGTGGTAATGTTTTAATAAATAAAAACGGTTTGTAAATACTACTACATGTGTGAAAGTAACCTAAATCTTTTTATGCTTCAAGTTTTTAACGTTCAAAATTTTATTATATTCGCATACAATGCCTTTTAAAAGGATTTTTTTTATTCGATGACCTTATTATTTCTGTTTTATTTATATAAGTCTTAAGTGAATTATAAAGGTAAAATTTATTTTACTCACATCTTATTTACCAATTTATGTCAAAATTAAAAATTATTTATGAAGTTTTAAAACTATTGCCATATCATGAAATTAAAAATATTGAAAATGAAAATAGTATTATATCGGACTTCTATAAATTCTATTTTAAATGATAGTTTTTATGTGTATGCGTTTGTGTGTATGTTTGTCACTCGTTCACGTTAAAATGGCTGGTTGGATTTAGATTAACTATAATAACCTTATTATGTACTGGTAGAGTATGATTTGGAGTAACACGTGACGCGAGGGTCGGGAGGGAGTCGGTAGTATATATGAAGACGCGATTATTCCGCCATCTAGTTTAAAATATTGGTAACAAATTATATCAATATTTAGTGATTTTAAAATAACATCTAATTGTAAAATTAGTGAGTAAAATAGGATAATAAAACCTGATTTTACAGTTTATAATTAATTTTAGGATATATTTTGATTGATCTTTATAATAATATGATTTTTTAATGTAAAATTGATTTAAGTTAATCACAATAGCTTTTGTTGTTGTTAGTTAATGATTTCCGCCAAATCTTTATGAAGATTAGTAATTAATTAAGAGGGTCATAAATAAATATTATGTTGGGACATTAACACACAGCACCATCTAGTTCCATGGTAAGCTACGAGGCTTGTGCTATAGATACCAGATAGTTGATACACTACACATTATAACTTTGAATGCATACATATTATAAATATAAACACCCATGACTGGAGTACAAACATTCGTCCTCATCACACAAATGAATGGCCCCAGCGGGACCAGAAACCGCGACCGCTGGCACAGGAAGTAGGCTCACTACAAACTGAGCCAAACGTGTCAAATTATCAAATTGTTTTATTTCTAGGAGCGTAATGGACGTCATAGTCATAGGTTGTGGTGCCGCGGGTGTAGCCGCGTTACGAAATTTGCATAAAGCAGGCCTTAATGTGTTGGGATTGGAAGCCGCTGATCAGATCGGCGGAAGGATACGAACTGTGGAATATGGCGATTGTTACATCGATTTAGGTGCAGCTTGGTGAGTAAATATTACTTGTAAGAAGTTTTGAAAAGATCTGTTTTTTTGCTTTCGATTTTGGTATATTGATGATGGTATGAAATACGTTTATGTAAAAGTACCAATTATTATTGTACTTAATTTTAAAACCTGCGCTTTAGAGCACCTTTGGGTTTTTCAGAACTATACATACAACCAAAATTTTTATATCTAACTTTTTGACGTTAGTCGCAGGAACGATTAAGTACCTAATTGGTAGAAATACTAACTACCACTCAATACTGTTTGTCACAGTTTGAAGATAATCGTGACACGGTAATGTTATATGTACCTAACATATGTCTCCCATGTCTTTTCCACATAAAACACAAAAAAAAATATTCAAAAAAAAAAAGTAGTTTCGCTGCACTAGTTTGTTTTATTGAATCAGATCATGGTTATAATAAAAGTTTTCTATAAAATGTTTTTTTAACTTTTTTATTAGAAGAAATGTCCATTCCAGGTGTCATGGTGAGAAGGACAATGTTGTCTTTGAATTAGCAAATCCCCTAGACCTTTTAGGAAGACCGGCACCTGATAACAAGTACTTTGTACTATCTAATGGAGAATTGTTATCAAATGAGACAAGCGAAAATATAATTCAATCTTTAAACGATGCAGTTGGCAAAGCTGATAAAAATTCAGGAAAATCTATTTCAGAATGTGTTCGAGATGCGTAAGTTCTTTCAATTAAACGATTGTTATCATTAATCTAATAGACCATATTGGTGATTTTATATAATACACGGTTTCCGCCGCTTTATATTTGTTTGATTATAAACATCAGTTTTACAATAACTGATGAATGAATGAATGACTTGTTGACATTAACGATTACTGCTCCGCTTTCTTGGATAATAGCATGATGATATATAGCCTATAGCCTTCTATCTAATGAAAAAGACGCTATCTAAACGGGCTATCTAATGAAAAAGAATTTTTTAAATGGGTTTAATAGTTCTTGAGATTAGCGCGTTCAAACAAACAAACGTACAAATAAAAAACAAACAAACTCTGCGTTTTTATTATATCAGTATAGATAAAATGTACTTTAAACCTTTATTTATTTTATATTTTTCAGACCAAAAACAAATCCGGATTTAAAAAAAGATCCTACACTAGTACAATCCTTTATAGAATGGTTTGAGAGAAACAGTCACGTTGGGGGTCAAAGTGACCCCTTGAAGGGTAAATCGTTGAAAGGATTAGAAGAGTGTTGGGGCTGTGAGGGCGAATTCATGTTGAATTGGAAAGGAAAGGGGTTTAAAACAATATTTGACGTTTTATTGGTAAGTATCTAAACTAATTATACTATATGTATTTTTTATAATCTATTGACTAATTAATTACCTAGTCTTTCAACTTAAGTGGTCTAAGACTAATTTATTTATACGTGGATATTAAGTAATTCACAATCGATATTTACTATATTTTTCAGAACAAATACCCCGATCCATCCAAACAATTACCAATATCTATTCATTTAAATAAGGAAGTAGAAAGTATAAAATGGAGATCCACCAAGCAAAGTGGGGATGCTGGAAACCCCCTGGTGCAGATAACGTGCAAAGACGGCAGCCTGTACGCTGCTAAGAGTGTCATCGTTACCGTTTCTGTAGGAGTTTTGAAAGAAAGGTATAAAAATAGTTTTTTTTTTACTATTTTTTTACTGTTTTTTTATATTTTTCATTTACTTTAGAGAATATCAACACATTCGTTTTCCAAATAAATTGTTCGTATATAATGAGTAGGTCTTATTTTGAGGTAGACTAAAAGTACTTCAAAAGTAAAATGTAAAAATATACTGCTAAATTCAATTTATAATACACATTTTGATTTTTGCAAGTGTTTCTATTTCCGTTGATAGTAGTAGTAAAAGTCGGTGCCAGTCGATACAAAGCAAAGCACCGACTTCGAAATTATTTGATTAGATATGTATAGTAAATAAAAACTACCAATCAGCTATTCTTTACTTTTTAATGCTTTTGTATGAAGTCGGTTTTTATTTTTTTGTTAAAAATTTTTTATTTAATATTTCAGACATACGCAGTTATTTAACCCTCCATTGCCAGCTGAAAAAATCAACTCCATAAACACTCTCCAACTTTGCGTCCTTGATAAGATATACATAGAATTTACGAAGCCCTGGTGGCCGAAAACGCCGGCCAATTTTGCTATTTTGTGGAAAATGGAGGATAAACTTAAGTTTTCTGCCCAAGAACAATGGGTTACCGAGTTGTATGGAATGTTTACGATTGAATATCACCCAAATGTTCTTCTCGCCTGGATTTACGGAGAAGCCGCGGAGAAAATGGAGAAAAAGAGCGTAGAAGAAGTGAAAGCTGGTATTAACAAGTTATTGGATGTTGTGTTTAAAAAGAAGTTCAATGTTTCACCTGTTAAGTCTGTTGTAAGGTGAGGTTTTATTTTCTTATATTCTTAGCTTCGAACGAGCTTGTGTTTATCTTATTTTGTAACCATTTTATTCGATTTCTGTTTCAATTTATATTACGTAAAACCGTTTAAATTATAACGTCAATCAATTCCTCCATTGCTACGAGAAGAAAGTAAGAGAACTACAGTTAATAAGCCATTCTCTAGCATTAATAATAATATTTCCACATTCTTCTATACAGCCATCTAACGAAGGTCTCTAGACAGGGCAATCCTGTAGGGCGTGCAGGGAAGACGTGTGTGAGATACTCCCGACTGTCACGCTTAGTTCAATGTCACAGTTAAGAAACGACTTTTGGATAGAGAAAAACATTTTTTTTTTGTAAAATATAAAACCAAAAACTTGGTTATTTGAAATTTTTACATAAATTTTGAGGTTATGTGAAAATAGTCTAAATACAAAAGTTGTAGATCTTTTTATTACCTACAACTTTGCCGTTTAATTTTTTTATCCATTGGACTTGTAGTTTTGCCGGAAATTGAGAAACCGGAACCCTTTTTTACCCTTAAAAGCTGACCCTCTCCCTCACCTCAGATCCCCCGTAAATTATTTTTCCTTTCATTTTTGTTATATCCTCTTCCTTTTCCAATGGCTTTCAACCTTCTATTATTTTTTTTTGTTTCAAAAATTATCGACACTGGTCTAATAATTATACCATGAGATGGAACTACATATTAACCAATGCATTTGACAGCATTTCTGTTAAACAATAGGCGATCACTTACTGCATGGTTTTTTTCCGTTATATCCAATGTGCAAATGCCTACTATAATTTTTTTTACCGTGATTAGTATAACTAGTGTAGAAATAATCTATTTATTTATTTCAATTTAATGAACTATTCCAGATCTCAATGGGCATCAAACCCGTTAGCTCGAGGCTCGTATTCATACCGCAGTGTTGCCACAGAACGGAATGGGGGTAGTGCCGTCGCTCTGTCAGAGCCGCTACAGCTCGGGGACTTCCCCGTAGTGTGCTTCGCGGGGGAGGCCACGTCGCACCATAGACACGCGGCGGTACATGGCGCCGTTGAATCCGGCTTTAGAGAAGCTGATAGGCTTATCAGGCACTTTAAATGATAATTTGGTTCCGAAGATAAAAGTATTGTTGATTTTTTTGTACTATGTATTTTTTTTAAATAAATATTTATAATTTAATATTCTTTACTTCTTTCAAGTTTTCATTTTTTAACTAAAAAGGTCTTTTATTTTCTCACACCATAGACACGCGGCGGTACACTAAGCTACAGCTACAGCTGATAGCCATATTAGGCAATTTAAATAATAATTGGGTTCCGAAATGTATTACATATATTGTTTTTTTTTAATAATGTTACATATATTTTTAAATAAATATTTTTAATTTATTATTCTTTTCGTCTTTCAATTAACTCTTTCTTTTTATCTTTAAAGTTATTCACTTTCAATGCAATTATTGTAAGTATAGAAATAGTTGTTTTTTTTTATATACAAATATATTCTTTAAAAAGTGTTATAACAAATCGCTCATAATTAATTAATTAAACGTAATAAAAACAAATTATGTATACCTATTTTATAAAATTACTTAAAAACATTTAGTTTTGATAAAGACTAATAAAGGTGTTGTCAAATATTTAATATTTATATTATGAAAATTATAAAATTATAAACTTAAAAGTTTTATTTAAAAATAAAAAACAAATGAAATTAATATTTTTAATTAAAAATGTTTTATTTTTTTAAATGTTAACTTAAAAATACACAATTTGTAAATTTTAAATTACAAAATATAGAATAAAATTCATTAAGGAATTCATTAAAAATACTAATCATTGATACTTGTGCAAAATTATTCCAGTTAAAAAAAAAAAAAAAAAACTTCTTTCGCAAATTTCAAATGTCACAATTAAATTATAATAAATCAATAATTAAATAAGACATATTAGGCGTATTACAGTCATATATTTATAAAATATCATAGACGGAAATAATATAATGTTGATATCATTTGTCAATATAATAAAAACGGTTACCATGGCAACATTAGTCATAATAGCTTTTATTTAATTAATGCACATTCCTCACACAATAATAAATATTGATTATTATAAGTAATAATTATTATAAAAACATAAATATAATATTTAAAATCATTGTAAGGTTTCGTTTTTTTTACCAAGTTTAGAAGTTATTTTACATTTTATTTAACATATATTACATAACATATTATTCAGTATTATTTTTCACCTTCTGTGCAATGTATTCTATCTCATTCTCTCGCCGGCTTAATCCTATATATTTATGTGTTTGTCTCTTTCTCATGTCGCATTTCCTTTTCATCATACATGAAGTTACACTTCAAAAACCCCAATTGAAAAAATAATAAAAAAATATTATTATTATGTTATGAAAATAAAAAGGCCTTTTTTTATGTCAGCATTCTAAAGCCACTATCTTTATTTTTCAGCGGTGGTGACATGACATGACTACTTGCTATGTCAGCGGTCGCGGGTTCGAGTACCGCTGGGGGCATTCATTTTTGTGTTGAGCATGAATGTTTGTACTCTAGTCATGGGTGTTTACATTTATAATATGTATGTATTTAAAGTTATATATGTGTAATGTATCAGCTATCTGGTATCCATAACACAAGCCTCGTAGCTTACCATGGAACTAGATGGGGCTGTGCGTTAATGTCCCAACATATCTATTTATATTTATTATTTATTTATTTAATCAATGCAGTGGCCCAATTGATATTTTCAAGTCTTCTATTTAGGTGTATAAAAATAATGCACTGTATCGACTTTTACAAATAGCAAATAAGCACATTTAATGTATAATTCTTCTTCTTCTTTGTTATACTATTTCTGAAGCATGTTGTGTTTACCTTAATATAGATTTATAATGTACAAATGTAATCTATGATATTAATTACAGTACTTGTATTAACAAATTGTAAACTGCTGGTAGATCTTGAATAAATAAATAGATATGCAGGTTTCCTCACGATGTTTTCCTTCACCGTAAGACAAGTGTAATCATGTTGGAAATGATTCGCACATGAAAATATCAGATGCCAGACCTGGGATTTGAACCCACTTCAGTTGGTTTCCTAACCAAGCGCGTTACCACTGGGCTACCAATGTCTCAATTTATTATAACTATATTATACTCTGAACTTTTACGAAAGAAATCTTGCCGACAATCACACGAAAAAAGCAGGTCCAGAATTTGAACCTACTACCCTTTTCAAACCACCAATAACTTAACTGTATATAACATCTGTAATAGTCTCAGTACTAATTATATTCCCATGTTCATCGACATCACACATCATAATTTCCACTGCTGTATTCACATCATTTTCCTTTTTGACTTCATTCTTCTTCAATGTGATTTCAAATCTCTTCGGTGAAGTCTCCGTGGCTTCAGCTATTTGTTTCAGATCGAATTCAAATTTGTTTGTTAAAGATTCTTTAGGCCAGCTATAACCATCTACTATTTTCTTAGATACATCTTCAAATTCAAATCGTGTGGTCGTCAGTCTGTACATGCCATCTTCGCTTATTTGATATCTGAAATTATATTTTTTTATATATTTACAAACAGCACACACATTAATGTACATTTAATAAATTTTATGAATCAAACTAAAATGGCGATGGGCAGGACATTTAACTAATAGCCACCTAGGTAATACAATCAACATGATGCAATGAGAAGAAAAGATAATAGAATAGAAGATAAACGGGGACCATATCAACGCCTTTTATCGACCTTTACGCGCGGTCGAAGTAAAACTTCTTTGGCGCTGTGGCAAATACCGCGATTAAATCTAAACAAATCAATATATAAACATAACCTTTAAAAAAAATATTAGTGATAAATATTCCTTTTATAAGTAATAATAGTATAAAATTATAATGAACAATAAATATATATTTTTGTACATAATAATTATAATTATTAAAAATATATATATATATATATTTATTATTATTAATAATATGAATTTGACACTTACTTCCGCGACACTCATTTTCCCAATGTATTGGCTTACCCCTCAGTCCCACCTAAAGAAGTTTTAATTAAATAATTCAAAAATTAAATACAATTACAATTCTCACCTAAACCTACTATGCCCGAATGGCCACTGAGCTCCGTGCACTTTAACTAAATGCGTAGTCAATCTTGTTCCACGTGAAAAAACTTTCACTTCTTTTTCAGGGCACATGTGACACGCGTATTTCTTTCCAACTTTCTTCTTTTTCTCTTCTTTCACTTCTTCTTCGTCGGATATTTCTATATCACTTGTGCTTTCTTTACGCTCTTGCTTGAGCTTCAGTTTCTTTTTGCGTGTGTGCGTCGGTATGTGCTTGCGTAGGTCCCACTTTGTAACTGCTCTGTAAATATTAAAATTAAATCCGTAATTATTATTAATATTATAATTGTGAATGTTTGTGAGTATGTATGGATATTTGATACCCTTTTACGGCAGGACAGCTGAACGGATCTGGGTGAGGCACAGAGGTAGATTATAGTCTGGAATAACATAGGCTACTTCTTGTTGATAGGTTTGTTTTTTTTCTCAGAGGTGAACCCAAGCGAAGCGAATCTAGTTCGCTATTATGTATACGCAATACACATATACGAGACAAGAGCCTGGAGGGTCATAAAAAAAAAGAAAAAAAAATACAATGTGTCACTGACTTGTACGCACAGTGCGGACACTTGTGCGTCCTGGTGTCGCCGGCGAGGTGGCGGTAGCGCACGTGGTGCGCGAGCGCGGTGCGCGACGGCGCCGACATGTCGCACAGCGCGCAGGCGTACGCCGACACGTGCTGGCGCTCGTGCTCGCGCCGCAGCGCCGCCGTCGCGCTCGCCAGCCCGCACAGCGAGCACGCGTGCACGCCTCCCACCCCCGACACCGTCTGGAATATTCGATACTTTCAAAAAATAAAAATAAATAAAAAGTATTTATTGAAACAAAAAGAGTAAAAAAGTTAACAGAATTAGTAAAGCTTAAAGTAACTTAAGGTAAATGGTAATAACTCAGCTAATGCTGCTAAGACCGAAACTCAAGCAGCGCTGATTTTCAGTTACACCCGTTACCATTACTTTAAAAACACTTTATTTGTCTTACTTTGTTTTATGGTGCTTTCTCAAAATTGGAGCACAAGAACTACTAAATAAATCGATAAAAAATTCAATTATACACATAAAAACCGACAGCAAAACGGTTTTACAAGCACTAACTAAAAACACAACAAAATCTAAATACATACTAGAATGTCACAAAACGCTGGAACACCTTTCCCATACTAACACAGTAAAGGTATCCTGGGTAAAGGGTCACACAAATAACAAAGGCAATTCAACTGCCGATAACCTAGCCAAACAGGCCTCTAGACTGAAAGTTCAGGGGCCTACACCTTTATCTCCAATTCCGTATTGCGAATACAAAACATGGTTGCGAAACTTCACCGATAACACAGTTAACACATTATGGAAGGCTAACACAGATTGCCGTCAATCGAAAGAAGCCTTCCCCACACTAAACAAAAAATTAACAATGAAACTAACACGCTTAGATAGACCCAAACTAAAAATGGTGGTGGAACTGTTAACGGGACACTGCCAACTCAATAAACATCTTTTTAACATAGGTCACACGGACAGCGCCCTATGCAGAGCGTGCCTCCAAGAAGATGAAACACCAGCACACATTCTAACTGAATGCAGTGCACTGGAACAATTACGCGAAGAAAAACTCGGCCCCAATAGATCGATCCCGGAAATCTTCCAGGACACCGGCAGCCTGCTAGACTACTGGGACGCTCTGGGATGGAAAGAATAACACACACAGCAGCACAAGCTCACGCACAACGGGCAAAGATGCCTAAGTGCGGAAAAAGCCGCGTCAGAAGAAGAAGAAGGTGCTTTCTCAAACAAATTTTCTAATTTCACCCTCTTAAGGGATGATTCCAGATTTAAAACTATCCTATGTCCTTCCCAGGGTCTCAAACTATCTTCTTACCTAATTTCATCTACATCGGTTCAGTAATTTCGGAACTTATTCAGTACAAGCAAACAAACAAAAATCTTTCCTCTTTGAGTCTTTATAATATTAGTATAAATATAAATACCTAGACAACCGAGTTTCGTTTGACGTTTTACGGAAAAGATTACGTTTTTTTAGAAGACACCTGAAAAGAAGAAAAGGTTTTGAACCAGTGATCAAAAGAATCTCAAAATTTATAAGCCTCTTTTGAGAAGTACTAAAAAATACCAAAATATTAAGAAAATCAAGAATAAAAATTTTTCAAACCGTCCGATTTGGCGTGGTATGCACCATATATAGACTAAAAGCTAACTTAACTGAATACAAATTTTGATCCAAATCGTTATAGCGGTTTCCGAGATACTATGTTTTATTTTATATCCATACATATATATACATACATACAAGATTTGCTCAAACAATATTATAAGATAAATAAAATTGAAGTGTCTGTCTGTGATTTCCAAATAACTGTTTTCTCATAGTACATAGTTATTTATATGAAACCAGTGCCTAAACAACAATTTTTATTTTTTTTGTCTGTCTGTCTTTCTGTTTGTCGAGGAAAATCTTTGGGACAACTTAATCAAGTGTATAGGGACTTTCACTGAAAGATAGAGTAGTTCGTAGGGCTACATATAGGTTATGTTTTATACAGGAAATAATTAGAGTTCAGGTGCGAAAATCGAAGTGTCTGTTTGTAATGTCAAAATAACAACTGCTCCGAAAAGGCTGGAACGATTTTGACGAGACTTTCACTAGCTGATAGCTGATATTATACAGGCTACTTTTATTCTTAAATAAAGGAGCAAAAAACCTATGAAACTGTGAATAAAATCGTGACTAGGGTTGCATATAAGTGGCTAATCACTAATAAATCTAAAAAACATGCTAATAATATAATTTATATAAATCACCTGTCGCAACAAATGGTCTGACAGCTTTCTATTACATGCAAAATGGTGTCCACAATGGAAGCAAGCAATCACTCTCTCTCGCGTATGAGATCTGACATGCATTGTGAGTAAAACCCGTCGGTGAAACACTGCCCCACATCCAGCCCAGGAACAAAGGAAATCTTCCGAGTAATTTATATGGTGTTGCACGTGGTCAAAGAACATCTAGAAATAAAAAGATAACAAATAATACAACTAAAATATCTATGCATATAATAAAATTGTAATTAAGCCGAATCTGTACATTAAATATTTTTTGGAACATCTTATTGAAATAAACATTAGTATTGATACAGAGGCAGTATCTATAGTTTTTAGAATTTTTGTCTATCTGACTGTTACCACATCACGAGAAAACCACTGGACAGATTTTGATGAAATTTGGTATGGTGATAGCTGATTATCCGGGTCAACATACTTTGTTGGCTCAGTATTACAAGGTTCTATGTTAATTTTAATAAAGTTTAGTAATTTTTACATAGAACTTCATTATTTTGTTATAGTAAAAAAAAACAACATAGAACTATGTAAAATTTTTTATTTTTTTTTATTAGGGGTTTGTTTTTGCAAAACTGTAGCTAATGACATATAGAACCTTGTAGCATTAATAACTAAATAAGTACTAAAATTGTAACATAGAACCTTGTAATTGTGAGCCAACGAATTATATAGGATACTTTTTACTGTCGGAAAATGTCTCATTTCTGAAAAAAAATATAAAAACTGCAATGTAAGCGTGTACTAATATGTAAAACCTAAGAATTATAAAGGTCATCTGAACGCGGGCGGAGCCGCGGGAAATGCTAGTATATATATACACAGAACATACATGGGGTATTTTCGGATACACCCAAATGTGAGGAATCTAAAAAAATTTTATGGTGTCACCTTTTATACCCCCGTGTATGTATATATATATATATATATATATATATATATAATGTATGTGTATATATATATATATATAATGTATGTGTATATATATATATATATTCCGTAATTATCATTATTATTAAAATAATAAGAAAAATAAATTGATTTAATTAAAGAAAGTCTAATTTTTCTTTATTTCAAATTTTTCAATATTTCATTATAGGTTTGATGTTTCACATCTGCCAGGCATTCCGTGTAACCTAACTTTTTTTGTTAAAATGAGAATTATATCATACCTGTATAGAGTTAAAACTTTCTGTACACCCAACCCACATACAGCAATGATCAGCTATTAGCGCAGGCAACATATTTCTTTTGCTTGAGTCTTTTTGACATCTCTCTAATTTCAATGTTGCTCTTCCATTGAAACCAATTGCCAAAAGTTTTGCATGATATGCATGGTAGTTAATATGGCGAACCATTTCAGGAAAGTCATTTGTACTGTGACCACAAACATCCCATAAGCATACATATTGGACTGCGAAAATATAATTTATGATATAAATATTATGTCCTAAGTATGAGTGATCTTATTTACCTCATTAAAAAAAAGAGATTGGACAAATGGGCAATGGGTTTATATAAATAAAATAATAATTTCAAGAGTACCTATATTGATCTTCAGGTAGACAAATTAATAGAATATTGAAAGGGTATAGGTATTCAAAAGCTTAAGCAAACCTCTTTTGTCATTATGTCATTATCATGATATTTAAGACACAAAAAGAACTATTATATTTTTAATTCACTTACCACTTCCATTAACTTCAGTGACATGTAGATCAGACACATGCTTTGCTACATGTTTTTGAAACACTTGGTAATCATTGAAATAGCACTTACATGCCTGCCACTCACATTCCATAAGTAAATTTTCTTTTCGCAAAAGACGTAAAGGCTTAAACCGAAAACAAAAATTTTAATTTACTTTTGAAAACTGCATTCTTATACTATATAATAAGAATAAATTTCTGAATTCTAGTTACTTAACAAAATTATTTCACTTCTTTATAAAGTAGCAAAACGTATTATAATTACTAAATATTACTTACCACAGCCTTTGGTTCAATGGCAGGTTCGTCGATTCCAGCTGGTACTGTCGCTATATCATCCGCCACCGCAGGTACAACATTTTTGCGCTGTGCTTTAGTTTCAAATTCAATGATAAATTGTTCATCATTTTTGTTTGGCGAAGATAACTTTTCTGGATCATTTTGGTTTTGCAGCCATTCCATACATCTTAACAATTTTATCTTAGGTTCCTTTTTCTCTGTATGCTCAGTCATAATAATGATAAAGGCAGCCCTCAAGTTTTAACTATTTATGAAATTTTCTGTCATTAAATTATAATAAATAACTGGATAAGATGTGATTTTAAGATAACAAGTTGCTTTATTTACGTTTACATCATTATAAATAATAAATATAATGAATAGGTAACCCTTTGGCGCAAATGGTTTTGACATTGACACTTGACAGTCTTGTTCCTGGTCTGTGATTGATACAGTTGTAATATGTAAATTGTCTAGCTTAATGTTCATCTATGGTCTTTAAGCTTGAATGAAGTAAAAGATTTTATCCAAAATTTCTTTTTAAAATGTTTCCCCTAGTCTAACATTGTATTTCTTTTATTTTTACTTTAAAAATTTTTACCCTAGAATACTTAATTTAGAAATTTTATAATAGCCCAATGTAAAAAATATTTTCTCTTATAAAAATTAAAAAAACAAAGTCAATATTTTTTGTTTCTACTTTTTACTGAAGAACATAAATAAAGAAAGCGTGTTTTATGTTTTAGTTTAATTTAGTAAAGCTAATAAAGATATTAATTAATTTTCTTTTCATTAAGATGAACTGGTCACACAGTTAATAACTTTGCCTTTGCTGTCTTTTGCTTGACAATTCATTCAATAAAATATAAAAACGTGCGTGTGAGGCAACGAGTGCGTAAAGTGCGGCGTACAAGCGGCTCGGCAAGAGTCCCCACATTGCAATAGGTACTTCTTATCATTAGTTAAGAGGTCGCAAATAGTTCATTGCTTTTATCCCGTTGTTAACATTAAGAAACGACGGCCGGAGGTCAATTTAGCCCGGCGCTGATGAAATCAACTATAACTCTCCAAGAAGTAGTGAATAAATTAGATCATCTCGCTTCACCGTTACCTACCAGAATGCCTAACATTAAAGTTTTTAGTGGTAGCTCCCATCCCGACTTAGCGCAAAAGATTGTGGATCGACTCGGAATTGATCTCGGCAAAGTGGTAACCAAGAAATTTAGCAACATGGAAACGTGTGTTGAGATCGGAGAATCCGTTCGCGGTGAAGATGTTTACATCGTACAAAGTGGCAGTGGTGAAATTAATGATAATTTAATGGAATTATTAATTATGATCAATGCTTGCAAAATAGCATCCGCATCTCGTGTTACTGCTGTCATCCCGTGTTTCCCGTACGCTAGACAGGACAAAAAAGATAAAAGCAGAGCACCTATTACTGCCAAGCTTGTAGCTAATATTTTATCAGTATCTGGTGCTGATCATATTATAACTATGGATCTCCATGCATCACAGATTCAAGGTTTCTTTGACATTCCTGTCGATAACCTCTTTGCGGAGCCAGCGGTGTTGAAATGGATTAAGGAAAATATTCCTGATTGGAAAACTAGTATTGTGGTCTCACCAGATGCTGGAGGTGCCAAAAGAGTAACATCTATAGCTGATCGCTTAAATGTTGAGTTTGCCCTTATTCACAAGGAAAGGAAAAAAGCAAATGAAGTTGCATCAATGGTATTGGTCGGAGATGTTAAAGATCGCATAGCCATTTTAGTAGATGATATGGCAGATACCTGTGGAACTATCTGCCATGCTGCTGAGAAGTTGATTGAAGCTGGAGCAATTAAAGTGTATGCCATTCTAACTCATGGCATTTTCTCCGGGCCTGCAATTTCAAGAATTAACAATGCATGCTTAGAAGCGGTTGTCGTCACAAATACTATTCCTCAGGAAAGGCACATGCAGGAATGTCCTAAAATACAATGTATTGATGTATCAATGATGTTAGCTGAAGCTGTAAGGCGCACTCATAATGGGGAATCCGTTTCGTATTTATTCTCAAATGTTCCATATTAGTTTAATTTTTTTATATTAACTAGGATAAGGTCTCCAACATCATCTGTTAATTGCTTGTCAATTGATACTCTGCAAGCTTGAAATTTATTCCAAATATATATTTGGCTTTTTATATTAAGTGCGGAGAATGAAATACTGTTGGAAACCACTAATTTAGTGTTAGTTATAATCTCATTAAGTTAATATAAGACTAGCATTGTTTTATTATCCTTGCGTCAATGCGTAAAAATGGTCTGTCGAGAAATATTTGAAAAAGTAATATTTTAATACAAAATTTCATGACATAATAGCTGTTTTATGTAGTGTAGATAAACCATGCCATATATAGCAAATGTATACAATCCAGCATTTATATAAATATTTAGTGAAAATGAGATGTAAGTTATTTTTTTGTTAAAAACATATTTGATACATGAAATTGATAGAAATGTAAACAAACCTTTACAAGGCAATATTTTTTATACACTACAAACATTTGTTTAATAAAAACAAAACCAACTAATGTAGTTTTTCCTTTGATAGGTTTATGATTTGTATATCATAAGTTAAAGTTTAAAAAAATATTATATTTGCAATAAAATTTTATATAAATGAAACTTTAGGTGGCCTTTTTGGTATAGTGTTGTAGCAACGATTAGATATATTGACATTTTGTTACAATCTATCTTATATTTTTGTATAAATGCAAAAATTCTACTATTTTTCATTGGCAAAATGCTTTTTTGCTGTTTCATTTGTAAATTATGAGAGATTTTTTTCTAAAATTATATAATATGAAGTAAGCTATGTATATTTGGTCAATATGCTAAGACATTAAATAAAAAATACAAAGTATTTTTTCATTTATTTTATAATTTTTTACTGTTACATTTCTTTTGCTAAAAACTTTAATATGGAACTCAAATTAACAACAACTATATCTAACTTTATATAAAGTGCTAGAGTTTTAAGGGGTATTTTTTAATTTTATAGTTACACAAAAACTTGGTTGCATAAAAGAATAAATACTTACATTATATTTTTATGGCCAAAAGTTGTTGATTTATTTATTAATCAGGTAAATTTTAAATTAGTTTTATTAGTGATGATAGATTATAGTGGTATTATATATTACAGGAAAACTAAATCTTTCATAAGCACTATCAGTAGTAAGTCTAAAATTTTCTTATTGTTAGAATAATCTATCCTGTTTCTTCACAACTAAGAATATTGATTAATATTTCAAATAATAATTTTCAGTATATACTGAAAATATATACATATGTATTCAGCCCTTTTTAACCTCCCACTGCTGGACACGGGCTTCCCTTCAATATGAGGCCATAGTCACGCTAGCCAAGTGCAGATTGACGGACTGCACATGTCTTTCCAAAACTTGCTAGGTTCTCTCAGACATGCAGATTTCCTCACGATGTTTTTCTTTACCGTAAAGCAAGAGGTAATCATGTTAGAAATGATTCGCACATGAAAATATCAGAGGTGCGAGACACGGGATTTGAACCCGCTTCACTTGTTTTCCGAAGCGAGCGCGTTACCACTGGGCTACCACTGCTTTCTGGACTATCATAGGCATTGGACTGACTTGCAGAATATATCTGGAGGTACAAATTAACAAATATTGACATTTTAATAATTTGAAATAATTGAACAAATTGTTATTCGCTCTGCATATTGTCTCAAATTAAACAATTTGTTATGTTACATCATGAAGATATGATATTAAGTCTTGACCCGAGGTCGGTAGTGATGTAAATGTTTGTTAGTGGGCGCGGTACGATATCAATCTAAAAACAAAATATATAAGGTTTCCATACAAATACACTTAACAGTGCAAAACACTTAGTTAATTAAAGAATGGTTTTAACTTAATTAAAAATAATTCAGCCTCATTCCGTAATAAAATTAATTTGTCATTTTTTATACACTAACGCAACACTTGTAAATATTGTGTATAATGCTAAAAATAGAATAGGATTCGAGATAAATTTGGTAACAAATCTATATCTACAATCTACATGTAAATAAAATTGAAGTGTCTGTTTCTAATGTAAAAATAATAGATTTTTACTAAATGCTTAAGGAATTATCTATATACAAAATATAAAATAATAATATAAGAAGAACACATTAATTAATAAAAAAATGTTGTCTGTCTGTCTGCTTGTTCCAGCTAATCTCCGAAACGGCTGGGCTCATTTTGATGGGACTTTCATTTTAGAAAAAGAAATAGGGTTCGGCTCAAAAAATTAAAACGTACATATAGGGACGCAGCCGAGTGAAGCGAGGGCAAGTCGCTAGTAATTAAATAAAAAGACATAAGTACCTTTATAAACGTTAAAATTTTATCATTGATAAATTGATAATGACACTTTTTTTAGACTTAGGTAGGTAAATGATTTATTAATCAAAAACAAATCTATCCCACGGGAACCGTACATTTTTCCGGGATAAAAGTAGCCTATGTGTTATTCCAGACTATGATCTATCTCTGTGCCAAATTTCATTCAGATCCGTTCAGCCCTTCTGGTGTGATTGAGTATCAAACATCCATGTAAACTTTCACGTTTATAATATTTTGTAAGATTAGCTTATATACTAGATATATTAATAAACTAAGCATACCGTAAGTAAACCTAGGACCAAATACTAATTATTAATTTTTGGCATGAATATAAAACATGTAGGTAAAGTGTTTGTAATTCACACACATATAATAATAAAAAAAAATTGTTGGTTTGATATTTTTTAAAGAGTTCATACGAATTATTATCGATGAAGAGAGACGACGGTATTAGAATGTACAATTCGAATAACCGTCGTTGTTTGGTTTTCAAAGTTGTTTCGAAAAAACTTAACATGTAGTAGGTACTTCCTAACATATTCCTTATCGATTTTAAGATACTGATAGCAATATCAGTAAAATACGAAACACTATATACACATGTAGATAAATCTGTGGGACCTTGTTTAATATCTGGTTTAATTTTAAAACTATAGCTAGATATCTATCGTATATACAAAAGTAAGCTCCGTTGCTATCTCAGGATAGCGGTATATTTACGATACTAATTTCAATCACTCTTGCTCGTCTTCCTAGCTAGTCTCTATTATAAATAAAGTCTCGTTAAATGACACGCTTTGCAAACGTTTTACAGTGTATAGATAGTTTATGTGCAGATGTACAAGTTATCTGAATATGATATAGGTACAAGTATATTATTATATGATCTTTATTGATATGATATACATTGACGCTTAATAATCCGTCTACGGAGACGCCGGCATGTAAGTTAAAAATAGATTTCTTAGGAATTTACCTGGAGATGTTAACACATAATGTTCCTTGGCTGTATTACAAATGCTACTTTTTGTTTAGTCTAAAGAAAAAACTGCAAATTATCTCGACCAGTAAAGTAGAGCTCCGCATATTATGAGCTTTCTTATACAAAGTGGAGATCATGTTTTTTTGTTATTTAAACAGAAATACCAAAGCGTGTACAGCTACAGGTTTTTGCTAGTTTCACTTATAATTATAATATTAATTATCTATAGGTACTATGATAAAACTATAGAGGTCGAATGTCTGTACATAGAAAAAAAATGCTAAAAACCGAGTCAGGGGATGTAAGAAGACAAATAGAACAAATTTACATCTTTTTCATTTTTTTTGTTTCTTTGTCTGTCTGTTTGTACGGGCTAATCTCTGAACCTATTAGACCGATTTAAATGAAATTTTGCATGGTGGAATTTTATATCCCCGGGCAAAATCTTAGATCTTGCCTTTTCATCCTGGAAAATTAAAGAGTTCTCGTGGGATAGTTAAAAAACTATAGTAACTTATAGAGCTTAGTACACAACAACTTATGCAATGCTAATTAATATGCTTATTTAGTAAAATTTGACATGCTGATGCCTCCTCATATTGCCGGTCAAACCACAGGTTACTTTTCATCCCAGAAAAATTACCGTTTCCCGTGGGATAGATCTGTTTGTGCTTTTCTAGAGGCGAAACCGAGCGAAGTGAGGGTGAGCCGCTAGTTTATAGTTATATCATAAGAACTATATTTAAATGTGTGATGTTATTACGTATGTACCTAGAGGAAACAAACGATTAAAATGTCTCAAATTGGATTTTTGGCATCTATCCCTGTGTTGACAAGAGTTCTATGTCGGAAATATACCTATAAGAACATTTGTAGATTCTCAAACAATCATAAAGGTGATTTTTAAAGCCCGTTTGTCTGTTAAATTGCCTCTCATTGAACAAACCACGGGTAAAAAAATATTTATTCGTAAATTACCTATCAGTAGTAAGAAACCTTATGGCTTGATTTATAAAAAAAAGAAGTGAATGTCTATGATTTCAAAATACCTACTTTTTACTATGTTTGAGCTATGCCTATAGCATGATTATTTGTACGATTCCAAAGTTCACAAACCGTTTGGTCTGATTTTAACCGCTCATTTCTAGAGCGCATTAATGGGACTTTATAGATGGATAGCTTTAAGTAAAAAGGTCATTAGCAAATATTTAGAAGCCACGAAATAAAAGAATTGAATTGAAAAGAAAATATTGATCCCGGAAATAAAAGGATTTCCGCAGATAAAGGATCTTTACTTACAGGATAAAGTGAAGGCCGGAGCTAAGTTCGAGTCGTCGAACGACGAATTTGAAAAAAACCGGCCAAGTGCGAGTCGGGCTCTCGCCCGAAGGGCTCCGTGCCATTATCTATAAAAACGAGCAAACAAATCACTTTTTTTATAAGGGAGCCTCCTTAAATATTTATTTTATTTTGTTTTTTTTATATTTTTTGTTATAGTGGCAACAGAAATACATTATCTGTGAAAATTTCAACTGTCTAACTTTCACGGTTCATGAGATACAGCCTGGTGACAGACAGGCGGACGAACAGCGGAGTCTTAGTAATAGGGTCCGTTTTACCCTTTGGGTACGAAACCCTAAAAAAATAATTGAGTAGGTATATAAATAACAAGTT